CAGTTGGTTTTTATGGTTTAATCATGATGATGTTAATGCACACCAGTAGCTAATTAAAGAAAACTTTTATTGTTCATCTTAAATAAGTTAGGTAAAGAGTGGGAGAGCTGATGTAACAGCACTGCCCAGAAATACATGTTTCTGCTGCACCAACAGTAAGCAGATACTGCTATTTTTGACAACTTAAATTATTAGTCCCCTCGGACAATAATAAAGCAAAAGTTACTTTCAGAGTTATTACATTGTGAACTCTTCGTTTTCCACAAAGGAATAGTAAATTGATGCCCAAGTTTAGGGCCCAGCACACATAATTAATTAAAAACTTTTCTCAGTAGTGGGCCAGATACCCTTCAATGTAATAAATCTGCAGTGGACTGGTGACAAACCAGTGGATTTTTAAATATGTCTCAAAATCATCAGCTTGTTTATTTCAGTGCTACAGATAGTTTAGAGGCTTAAAAAAATTGAGGAAATCCTGGCTTTTAACTCAGTTTTAGGAATCTAGTTTTCTAGTACTGGGTAAGTTGTACTTTTTCCTTTCCTTCCAATGGAAGTCAGAGTCTTTCATCTCTAGGTCATTGGTTCAAATTCCATTCTGCTCAGTAGTGATTAGAATTAGTTACCATCTGACTTCTGTTCAGTAACCTTTGTGACCTGAACTGATAGCTGCCATCCTGCCACTGCTGGTTATTTATATCTTAAGATCACACCACTTGACATTTGCTGGAGACTAATGTGGCAGTCTCAGCACGTAATATAGGCTGGATGCTAAATTTCTTTACCTTTCTCTACAGGTGGTTTGCCATTTTATGTTAACACCTATGGGAACACTTAATCCACTTTAAAGAGGGAGAGAGTTGATTTTAAGTATAAATCTGTAAATCAGAAGTAAAAAATGCTATATGCATAGAAACTATAGTTTCATGTAGTTAATTGTGTTTAACTTTCTTGATTCAGAGAATGAAAATAGCTTATAAAACTTGAGTTCTTGATTGGAGTTTGCCATTGGAACTCAACCTAAAGGATTTTTTAGTTATACTGTATTTAGGTATTTAGTTTGTAATGCCTCAAAATGTGTTTGATTTCGCATTTGACTACTTAAGTACTTGATTTCATTACTTTTCACATGTTATTTGAGAATTCCTAGTTGGTAATAGATTTGGAGGTCTATTTGAAATTTTCATAATAAGGATAACTAACATTAAACTGCTATTTTGATAACAATTATCTTTATTTTTATCTTACTGAATTTTTAAATATGTTCATTCATTTATTCAGTCAGCACACAATTATTAAGTTTTATTATGTGATAAGCACTAAAGTATGTTCTAGGAATACTAATATGATGCTTCCTCTTACCCAAATCCTACTAGCTGTCTGACCTTGGAACTATTGATCAATCTCTATAAACCTCAATTTTCTCAGCTGTAAAATGGGGATAATAGTACTCCTCCTCAAATAATTATAATGGTAGCTTATGTAATGTGCTAACAGTGTCTGGCAAATAATAAATGAACTCAACGGTATTTTATTTTTCTTCAATTGCTCACAATCCCTGAGACAGAATATAGTGTGAAAAGTACTATAATATTAGATTGTCATAAAAGCATAGAAGTGGGAAAGACTAGCACCACCTGGAAGCATTGCTGAAGTCTTCACAAAGAAGATAAATTTTTTAACTTACCCTTTTTAGAGTGCCTACTGTGTTTGTTCAATATGTTAATTAATTTTATGCTGCAGCAACCCTATGAGTTAGATATTAATGTCCCAATGTGAGGACAAAGACAGAAGAGATAGAGAGGATTCTTTGAAGTATGATCAGCCCACGAGGTAGAGAATGCAGATCAGGAAAGACACTATGAATAAATATGTCTGGGAAAGACCTTGAGGAGTACAGTATTGAGAATTCTCCATCTACGTTTATTTATATCGTAACAATCATGTAACTCTAGTCTGCTGGGCAATTTTTTCATTTAATGTTGTATCAAAGATAAACATATCCAACATTCATGGATTCTCTTCATTGTGCTAGGCACTGTCCTGCTCCTTAGTGATATATAGAAGCGGAATTGTATACTACATTCCCTCTAACAGTTCTTCACCTGGTAAAAGAGACAACGTAACAGCTGCTCATTATTGGGTATTTACTGTAAGGCAGGCACTGTGCTATTAATTCAGTCATCGTAGTAACTCTGAGGTAGGAGTTATTATCCTCATTTTACAAATGATATTATATAGCCTTAGAGAGATTTGTAATTTGTTCAGAGTCATACAGTTAGAGAGTGTTGGACTTGATCCCACATCTGTGTGACTTCAAAGCCTATATATTGTCTTAATGCTGTCTGATACTGTTACCACGAAACATTTTAGTAAAATATACCATATAATAGAAGTATAAGTGAACTACTAAGATCACCAAGAAGGAAAAGAGTGAAAGAACAGTTCTCGGACAAATGTCATTTATCGTGATGGATAACTAAATGTTCACCAGCTACAGCAAGCTCAGAGGGGTGCTCCAGGAAGGGAAAGAGCACAGTATAAACTGCATGGTTTGAAAGAATATGGTGTCTTCAAAGGACAGAAACAAGTCCTTTTTTAATGAGGATTACCTCACTTTCTTGAATTATTTATTAGTTCTTATATATATAAGTTATTGCATATATTTCTTATATATAAATATATATATTTTTTACCAATCAAATTAAGGAGTTTTTAAAATAATAAGCAGCTTTGGGAGGCTGAGACAGGAGGATTGCTTGAGGCCAGGAATTTGGACCAAGTTGGGCTACACTATGAGACCTCATTTCTACAAAAAATGTAAAAATAAGCCAGGAATGGTGGTGCATGCCTGTAATCCTAGCTCCTCAGAAATGGGAGGATTGCTTGAGCCACCACTGAGGGGTTGTAGGTTTCAGTGAGCTATGATCACGCCACTGCATTCCAGCCTGGGCAACAGAACAAGATTCTGTCTTTAAAAATAGTAATAATAATAATAATAAGCAATACACAGTTACCCAGTACTTTGGGAGACATTTTTTTATTGCTGATAGTAATGTAACTGAGTGCAGCCTTTTTGGATAGGTGTTGGACAATAGTAACTTTTAACTTTTTCAAACCATTTGCCTAATAATTCCTTTTTTTTTTTTTTTTTTTTTTTTTGAGATGGAGTCTCGCTCTGTCACTTAGGCTGGAGTGCTGTGGTGGGATCTCGGCTCACCGCATGCTCCGCCTCCTGGGTTCACACCATTCTTCTGCCTTAGCCTCCCAAGTAGCTGGGATTACAGGCGCCCGCCACCACGCCCGGCTAATTTTTTGTATTTTTAGTAGAGACGGAGTTTCACCATGTTAGCCAGGATGGTCTCGATCTCCTGACCTCGTGATCCGCCTGCCTCGGCCTCCCAACATGCTGGGATTACAGATGTGAGCCACTGCACCCAGCCTCCACTTTAAAAAAAAATTTTTTTTGTTTGTTTTTGTCTTTGAAATAGGGTCTCACTCTGTCACCCAAGCTGGAGTGCCATGGCATGATCACAGTTCACTGCAACCTCCACCTCCCAGGCTCAAGCCATCAGCTTCCTAAGTAGCTGGGACCATAGGGGCACACCATCAGGCCTAGCTAATTCTTCATATGTTTTTGTAGTGATAGGGTTTTATCATGTTGCCCAGGCTGGTCTTGAACCCCTGGACTCAAGCAGTCTTCCCACATCAGCCTCTGAAAGTGCTAGAATTACAAGTGTGAATAACTGTATCTGACCTAATAATTTCACTTCTAGGAGCCTGTCTGTCCTGAGAAAATATCACTAGGGGTTTGTCAGCACTAATTGAAAGCTTGAATATACAGGTATATGTGAATGGTAGAACAAATTGTTCCTAACACTAAATGAAGTATTATGTAGCTTTTAAAAATTGTATTTATGAAGAGTACATTAGCATGTCAAAATTTGAGTTATCAGGTTGTCCCTATGGTATCATTATAACCACAAAGGGATACAGGTGAAGGGAACCTGTGCATAGGTAGGTAAAAAAGACTGAAAGGAAGAGCCATGAAATATTACTATTGGTTATGTTTGGAGATAAGATGGGGTGAGGTAGTTTTTTTATTCTTATGGATTTTTTTTATGGTTACCTTAATAATTCTGTTGAAAAAGCAAGTAAAATATCTAGGTGCAGAATAGCAAGTTGCAGACTGATGGTCAGGCAGTCTAAGAAAGAGGAACTGATGGTCTTGGAGCCAAGTGATTATAACTGCTGCTGCCACCAAGTTGCTCTTTGTTCTCTACTTAGGGACTCATTGGTGGAAAATTTTGAGAACTAGTAGCCTTTATTGCACAAAGGAAAAATCTACCCTCAAGGGTTTTAATTACTTAATTACTGACTTGATTTTACTTTATCACTTATATTTGTCCTTGTTTTAAGTCCTATTGTAGTAGGAGAAAATAAACATCTTTTGAAATGGCATGCATTTATTTTAGTGTACTTTTCTTTGTCGTTCATAATTTAGGACTACTGATTTTTCCCTTTCTTACTGTCTAAAAACCTATAAATCAGTTTTATAAGAAAGGTAAGGAATATAGTAGAAACTACTTCTATATAAAATATAATTTCAACCACCAGTAATCATGATTTTGGAGACAGTTTATTGTATTGCTTGGGAAATCACTATAAAAATATGTATTAAAATAATTCTTCAAAGAGACATTTTAAAAGATATATGCTATTCTGTAGTAATCCAAAGAAAGAAGATCTGACATTCAAAAATGTATTTTAATGATGGAAATGAACATTAGATGCTTTTTCTCAAGTATTTCCTTGGCATTTTAAGGTGATTTTGGGGGTCTGGTGTAGGAAATGGGCACCTATTCTGTTTTTCTGATTACTGTTTTAAGTTATACTAGACTCATTTTTAAAATTTTCTTTTTGACAACATGTTTATATAACATTTTTTATATGACAATTGGCATGTAACTAGTTTGAAATGTTTTATTACTTTTTTCTTACAGATCTCTAAACAAGAACAGAAAAAAGTGGATACATTTGATGGAGGCATGGCTGAAACCTCATCTCGGTACAGTGGTGCTCAGGATAGTGGAATTGGCAGTGACAGTGTTAAAATCAGAATAGTGCAAATAGAGCAGCACAGTGGTGCCAGCCAGCATCGCATTGCCCGTCCCTCACGCCAGTCATCAATTGTAAAAAATCTAAATTTTATTCCCTTTGACATATTTATTACTGCAAGTAGAATCTCACTAATGACCTATTCCTGTATGGCCTTATCCAAATCGAAATCACAAGAACAGAAGGATAATGAAAAAACAGACAAGAGTTCATTAAATCTCCCAGAAGTTGATTCAGATGTTGCTAAGCCCAACCAGGCATGTATTTCCACAGTGACAGCAGAAGATCTCTTAAGGAGCAGCATTTCTTTTCCTTCAGGGAAAAAAATAGGGGTCCTCTCTCTTGAAAGTATTCATGCATCCACAAGGTCATCTGCTAGACAAGCACTTGGTATAACTATTGTTCGGCAGCCTGGTCGAAGAGGAACTGGTGACTTACAGCTAGAACCTTTTCTGTACTTTATTGTGTCCCAGCCTTCCTTGCTTCTGAGTTGTCACCACAGAAAGCAGCGAGTGGAAGTATCCATTTTTGATGCTGTGCTTAAAGGGGTGGCCTCTGATTACAAATGTACAGGTAAGAACCTTCAAACTTACTGACGTGCTAATAATTACTATCTAATAAGTTGTACTCCCATAGTTTCCAGATTGATTAAACAGAAACAGCTGACAGACAAAACGTCTTTTCTCTACAGAATATGTAAAGTTCATGTTCCACAGCTGAATCCTGTTTAAATATTTGAAATGTATTGAGGTTTAGCCTTAGTATTCTTACTATGCCTCTGAATATCATTTTTTTTTTTCTGGGAACTGAATGAAACAGGGATTCTCTTGACTATAGAGATGCTTAACGATTTCCAGTGTTTGGAAAGCATAGCTCGGTTTCATATTAATGGCCCATAGGTATACTTTCCATGTTAATGCTTCTATTCAGATTAAAAAAGAAAAGCCTTAGAAGATGAAGTTTGTTTTTGGTATTCTTTTGATGCAATAGCGTCATATTAAATGTAATTGAGAAGGTTTATTAATAAAGATTATTTAAAGATTTTTGTACATCTACAGAAAGTATATTGATGTTGGCTAATTCGCTCTTGCTGCCCAACCCATCCCTTCCTTATTCTAATTATAATAATTATATGAAATTTCCGAAGCTTTTTGCCTGTTGAGACTAGGAAAGTGAGCACGGTTCAGATGTAAGACATACAAGCTATTAAGTAACAAGGGCCAGTGGAGTCAAGCAAGGTGACAATATACCTTTTCCCTCAGTTAATGTAGATTTGGAGATTTGGCCAAAAAAAAAACTGGAGAGAGTAACTGGGTCACCTAAGATTCAGTATTCAAAGAGGCCCTCTAGCAAGCTCAGGTATAGTTCAGGCGTTTTATTGCTTTCAGCTGGTCCCATCCAATAGGTGGAAGCCAGCAGTAAGGCATTTGGACAATGAATCTAATCTGGAATACAGGTTTGTTCGTTCTTGCCATTAAGAAGGACTGTTTTGCATGGCAGGATCCCGGAAGGTAGATGGCAGGTGTGGGAATCAGGATTCAGCCTGAGGAAATAGCATCAAAGGAGCTCTAGGCCAGGGTTTAGTGCAAGTCCCCTGCTTTAAGAAAGGGGTAACTAGCCAGTTGCTGAGGAGTAACCCCTGGGCTGCTTGCTGTCCCTCTCTCCTGTGCAGCTCATAATGGGTCAAAAGAGCTGATTGTTAGACTCAAGAACTTTGCAAGACAGTTGTTAAACCACTAGTAGCTTAAATTGGCCATGGTGAAAGTATTTATGCCACAGATGCTTGCAAATTCAATCATATCAGCTCTCCTACTCCAAGAGCCATTTGTTAAACCCTTACCAGCAACAACTGCCTCTCTTTCTCAAACATGTTCTCATTTACTGGATGCCTTTGATATAAAAGATACTTCAGCGGCACTGAAAATATGGGAGATGCTGGTATAGTGGGACATGTTATGTGATTCAAGAACTCATGCCTGTATACCTGATACCTGCTTGCAAGTCTGCTTGGCATTAGCCAAAATTTAAGTGCAGGATTAGGAGATGAATTCTTAACTCTCAGCCCTTCATTAAGTTCACTCAGCTACAGTCGCTCTATAGGTGGGTGACCTGTGCTAAAAACATTGGGGGAGGCAGAGGAAAGTAGGAGGGGGAAAGGGGCTGAGAGGAACAGCTATGACCTCTTCCTAAATTTGTAGATATGCAGAGATCACAGAAGCCTCATTTTGCTTACTTCCAGCCCAACCTAAGGATACTCTGTATGTAACCTCAACCTTTGAAACTGTTAAACTGAGGCAAGCCAGGGTCCACAGTAATAGAAAAGAACTGCCAATGATGGACTTGTTTCCACTTTCCGAAATTGTAAGAGCAGACTGGCTTAAATCTGTTTTATTGATATACTCCCAAATCATGTGTTTATACATTTTCATCTAAGTCTGTATTCAGCAAAGTTATAAGAGCTCATACCAAAGATAGACTTTTGGATTATAATCAATTCCTAGGTTAAAATAATAGAGCACTTCTTGCTTAAAGGGGGGAAAAAACCTTGTATATAAACTGACATGGAACCCAATCTTGGTACATGAAGCTAGAGTGGTGGTCATGGGCCAGATTTAATATAGGGGTTGGGGGTAAATGTAGGAGGAAGAAGACTCACATACCTTCTAAGGAGCATTTTCTGCATAATATTCTCATGGATGCCTTTCCCTACACAGAATGCATCTACTTGGACATTTATATTATCTCAATAGTATGACTCTTGGTTAGTAATAATCAAAAGTTATCAATATGCATGATAATATTTCTTAAAAGTGAACTTAGTGATCTAGGGAAATTTTTTTCAGAAGACCCAAAAGGAGGCAAGTAATTAAAATACAATGGCTAAAAATAAAATTCAGCTAGCATTTATTGAGTGATCACCCTGTGCCAGGCATTGTACTAACTGCTTTAATGCATTATCTTATTTCATCCTAATGACAACTCTATGGGAAATGTTCTATTCTTAGAGATTAGGAAACTAAGCCTTAGAGAAGTTAAGTAACTTCCCCAAGGACACAGACCTAGCAGTAAACAGAGCTACAATTCAAAGCTAAGAAGTGTTGGACTCCTGAGTCTAGACTCTCAACCTCTATGGGTCCCCTGAAAAGAAGGATGTGAATTGGAGGTTCTTGCAGTCAGCCTGTATTGTCCCACTTACCATGCAAATGATTCCTCTCTTAAGTTTTAACTGGTGAATTTGTATGTTAACTGGGTCCATGCTGTGATTACACAGTACTCAGGTATGGAAAACCTGGGTTCCAGTTCTGTCACTTATATGTATACCTATATCATTACGCACTTATGAAAATGAAAAGAGATAATTCATGAATAATTCTAAAGTACTTAGCATTGAGCCAGCAGGCCTAGGCCCTCATAAATGTGTGCTGGTACTATTTTAGCTGTCAATATCATATAGTGGAAAGAATATTTAACTAGGAGGCAGAAAACCTGGGATTTTTATTCATGGCCCTGCCATCAATTAGTAAAGTGATCTTAGGCAGTTTACTTCTTTGACTTTCTGTTTTCTTATCTGTAAAATGTGATGATTATAATAGATATCAACAAAATCCATTCCAGTTCTGAAGTTTCATCATTCTGTAATTTGGAATTCTGTAATTTGGCTTTGGCTTCAGGGAGTTGATATCTGTAAGGCTCTACAATATCAGGTAGAAATTTATTTTGACTTGTTTTGAAGATGCAGATTTCCTTTGATATTCTAGTGGAGCACTAATTACTTTATGCCGAGTTTTAAATACATAAGTTTTATTAAATGTTAATGAAATTATTTTTCAAAAACCGATCTGGAAATGTGTTTTATGTGTCCACTTGAATGAATTGTCTAAGTCCCATTACCAATTTGGTTATCCAGAAACCCTTTATGTAGCACTTTCTTTCCTGAAAAAAGCACTGTTCCATAACCAGTGTTTTTTGGAAGCCCTGAGATAGTAACCTTATGGATAAGAAAAAAGAGAAAAATAGAAATGGCTATAATGCTAACATTCATGGGGAGGGAAGGAGAGGGAGCAGTAAGTTGGGGGTGGCTAGCTCCATTTCTGCATTATAAAGTGAAGGAGTCATTGCAATGTCTTTAAATTGGAGGGACTAAAGAGATTCTACCATGAAGCTAATGTTCTAAGAAATGTCCAGGAAAAGTTAAAGGCATCATAAGTTAAAAGTGAAAGAAGTAACATGTCATGTGTTTCCACAGTGTTCATACTTTTCCTCTGGATATTAAAATTCTTTTTGGCTGGGCATACTGTCTCACATTTGTAATCTCAGCACTTTGGGAGGCCAAAGTGGGTGGATCACTTGAGCTCAGGAGTCCAAGACTAGCCTAGACAACATAGTGAGACCCCATCTCTACAAAATTTACAAAAACTTAGCCAGTTGCAGTGGCGTGCATCTGTAGTCTGAGCTATCGGGGAGGCTGAGATGGGAGGATCACCTGAGCCTGGGAGGTTGAGGCTGCAATAAGTCGTGATTGCACCAACGTACTGCAGCCTGGATGACAGAGTGAGATCCTGTCTCAAACACAAAATAATGTATTCTTTTCTATAAGGTAACTCAAGTGTCAACCAGCCAATAGCCATTTTAGCATATATGTATGATTGTATGATTTGGTTTGGATGTTTATCCCCTCCAAATCTCATCTTGAAATATGACTCTCAGTGTTGGAGATAAGGCCTGCTGGGTGGTATTTGGATTATGGGGGCAGATTCCTCACGAATGGCTTAGTACCATCCTTTTAGTGATAAATGAGTTCTTGCTCTGAGTTCATGAAATATATAGTTGTTTAAAGAATGTGGCACCTCCCGCTACCTTGCTCCCTCTCTCCCCATGTGATATACTGGCTTTCCCCTTTGCCTTCTGCCCTGATCATAGCTTTCTGAGGCCTGACCAGAAGCCAAGCAGATGTTAATGCCATGCTTGTACAGCCTGCAGAACCATAATCCAAATATATCTTTTTTCTTTGTAAATCACCGTCTCAGGTATTCTTTTATAGTAATGCAAAAATAGCCTAATATAATGGGCATCTCAATAATTGCCCCATTGTCACATTTCAAAAATACCTATGAGGTTGTTATAGAGATAGTGGTTTTCTGGGTTTTGTTTTGAGAGGACAATAACATTTGATTATTTAAAAAAAAATCCTAGCACAATATGGCTTGTCATTGTTTATTGTTTTCTATACACGTCATAAACCATTATTATAGGTGCTCGTGTTCCTTTATATGTAAATCATACGGAGGAAAAAGAAAAAGGATTTTGTTTTACTCTTTAAAAAGATTTAATGGCTGGGCGTGGTGGCTCATACCTGTAATTCCAGCACATTGTGAGGCCGTGGCAGGCAGATCACCTGAGGTCAGGAGTTCGAGACCAGCCTGGCAAACATGGTTAAACCCTGTTTCTACAAAAATAAAAATTAGCTGGGCATGATGGTGAATGCCTGTAATACCAGCTACTTGGGAGGCTGAGGTGGAAGAATCACTTGAACCTACGAGGCAGAGGTTGCAGTGAGCCGAGATCATGCCATT